ATACTCCAATACGTATCTCAAGGAAGTTTTATTAGTTATATTAGGGCACCACAAAATAAAAATGCCTAAAGGAATGGAATTAAACATATAACAGTTTCAAGGACCAACAACAACTTTTATTTAACTAACCAAAACTAACCAAAATTAAGCAAAAGTAGTCAAAATTAACAAAAACAAGCCAAAATTATCCTAAACAAACCAAAACTAACGATAATTAAGCAAAAATAGGAAACATTCACAAAAACTAACCAAAATTAACCCTAACTAACCAATAGCGGCCGAAACTGGAAATAATAAACCAAAGTAACCAAAACTAGCGAAAATTGAGCAAAAGAAACCAAAATTAACCGTAACAAACCCAAATCAACCAAATCAAAAAAAAAAAAACATGCAAAAATTCACCAAAACGAACCATAGTTGTACCGAATGTGATATGTAATAAAACAAAAACCAGCGTCTAAAACGAACCAATAAGCTTTAGTCTTGTCCAGCTTCTTTTCCATTTCTTTCTTGTGTTTTTTATTAGCAAAATAATAATCCAAATTTTAGCTAAAAATTTATTTCAATAAAAGAAGCACCATTTGTTTAAACTTTTTATAACTCATACATAAATGGCTAATATAAATGCTTACAGGCTTTCATTGCGGATCGAACATTGCTTTCTCCCGGTTAATTTCTGTGTCCATTCGAATAACGCAATCTAATTAAAAACAAGCGATGCGCTTTGCTTGTTTTTAATCAGGACCAACGAAATAAACGAAAAAGTCACATTGGAAAATTAAATTTCCTTACTTTTCGATAGTTAAATTACTGCCATTCTTTGACATTTACAGACCAACAAAATGCCGAGGTTTTCAGGTTATCCAGTTTTTGTGAAAACCTGAAATAACCACAGACGCGAAGGATGGAGTGTATATTACTGGCGTCCTCATTACAAAATATCTCCCCAGCGAGCTAATGCGCAAACCACAAGTTTATGAGTGTATATTACTGGCGTCCTCATTACAAAACATCTCCCCAGCTAGCTAATGTAAAAACTACACGTGCACGAGTGTATATTACTGGCTTCCTCATTTCAAAACATCTCCCCAGCTAGCTAATGCGCAAAACTACAAGTGCATGAGTTCATATTACTGCCGCCCTCATTACAAAATATCTCACTAGCTAGCTAATACGCACACTACAAGTGTATATTACTGGCGTCCTCGTTACAAAATAATCTCCCCAGCGAGCTAATGCGCAAACTACCAGTGTATGTTTGTATTACTCGCGTCCTCATTACAAAATATCTCCCCAGCTAGCTAATGCGCAAACTACAAGTGCATGAGTTCATATTACTGCCGCCCTCATTACAAAATATCTCCCTAGCTAGCTAATACGCAAACTACAAGTGTATATTACTGGCGTCCTTGATACAAAATATCTCCCCAACGAGCTAATGCGCAAACTACCAGTGTATGTTTGTATTACTCGCGTCCTCATTACAAAATATCTCCTCAGCTAGCTAATGCGCAAACTACAAGAAAAGACCATTTTGCCATTTCGCGTCGAAAAAAAAAAATTACGTCCACACGTGGGATGCCCGTCTCTACTTTCTCTCCACTTCGATACCCTGCGTTTATTTTTGGTCATATATCAATGTCCATATAAATTATAATTAGTAAAGGCAAACACCGGGTGTAATTAGGAAGCTAAATACGTGCGTCTATTTCTTATCCGACGGAAATATTACCGGCAGACTAATTTATCTCGACTCCAACGCACGCCGGCCCAGAGGGCGCTTTGATAATTAACTGCAAATATCATTTGGTGTCGGCGGCGAAGCAATTACCCGAGAATCGCATTTTTACGACGCGTTCAAACTCTTACAACACACAGGAGCATAGGTATGTATAATTATTATAGGCATAGTCACCCCAGAATTATAAAAGAGTAATAAAATATCAATATCACACACTACATTCTGTTTCATAGATTAAATCAGCATCTGATACATTGACGGGTGAATTTCATCTCTGCAAAGTTTATCAAACAAGTACGGCGGCGTCATATTGGAGTTAAGAAAAAAAAACAAAGGTAACCAACTGAACTTTATAGAACAGCTTGAGGGAACATGAGTCAGAGAGGCACTGGGTAATACTTTCTGAAATTATAAACTAAAAAGAATACAAGAATTCTGTAGAACCTTAGTATTGGTGGTTAATACTACAATAAGCGAGATGGGATAAAACTTACATATCACAGAGATTAAGCTTGACTTCTTTACTGGGAAAATGTTTATGAATATAATGTCCTTATACACGGATTTTTGTAATCTTAAAAGAGGAATTTCTTTCAATATCTTCCATTTTATTTCTAAATAATAACATCTGCGTTTTGATAGTATTCAATAAGATGTTATTAGCCGCAGACGACAATTTATTTATGTATGTAGTCCAAGGTTTTTATTTTTCTGTCCCCGACACCCATCGCGGCTACGTCGAGAAACGACGAAAACTAAAAATATTTTCTACCGTCTAACTATAACGCGAAGCCTCCCGAAAGGCCATTGCCGTTTTCTTTTCACGTCTAGCGAATCCGCAGCTGCGCCCGTTCGACAAAGAAAATGCAAATTCCCCGAAGAACGCGATTGTTTTACGATTTCCTCATTGCGAACGATCGAGATAAATTGCCCGGCCGTTTTGTTGTGTCGTTTGAAAGGCCGCGTGGCAAATACGCGGACGTTTCTCCGAAAACGTGTCTTTTTAAAAGCAACAACAACGTTTAATTCTATAGCCGGTGACCCAAATAAGTGCGTGTGTTGATGATTTTGTCTTATTAGCTACTTCGAAAATGGCTTTCAAATTTAAATTGTCTTAATTTTTCAAAGAAACTCCCACGCGCTACTGTAATATTTGGACTGAGTTGGTTTTTGATTCATTTAACACAAATCAATTAGAACAAAAAAAGTTCAGATTTTCCCACAATGACCAGTCATCGCGAATACGCTTTGAAAAGAAAGCTCTCAACACCTTTCATCTAAAACCAAAATTGACATGACACTTTTCAAGCTCTGAAGAAGCCAACAGGATGGTCGGCGAAACGTCAGCAAGTTCGACTCAGCAAAAACCGACGCAGGAGGAATCCAGAAGTTTCGTAAAAAGTACTATTTTACTATATTATTATGGTATTCCCACTTTCCTGCTTCACCGGATATACAATAAAACTAAAAATATAATAATTTAACACACAAATAAGTTCATATTTACAAATGACGTACTAAACGTAATTTTAAAATGTTACTCATTCCAAGATTAAATATAACTTTGTAAAAATGCAAAATAAAATGCGAAAATTCAATTTAAATGTTATTTTCCCACTGACCTAGTAAATCCTACCGACCACATTAACGAATCGCATCACGTGTTCACGTGACCAACGGACCGTACAAATGTTTTTACCGATAGCTTTTGTAATAAAAATACTCAGTTTTGATTAATCTAGTTTGGTATTTGTAATTTCGATCTACTACCGCTACCCATTTTTAAAATATCAAAACAAAGTGCATGTTTGTTTTCAAATTGGCGACGTACAAATTGTTTACTGATAGGACCGTACTTCCTGTCATTATATATGCATCGGTATGTATAACATCGTAAAGAAATTTATATGACCCCTCATTAAAATTATTATCATATTAAGCAGATAAAATGAAAAAACTATTTACTTTTTTTTATTATTATTAATTAATCTTAAAAAGACGAAAATTTCGGACATTTTATATACACAAAAGGATATTAAAGTTCTATGTGTTACTAAGGGCTTGTACCTTTTCTCAGGAACCACTGATTTTAGAAAAAAAAATTATACATTATTTATTTTGATATATACAGCGTGACGGATGGGAGTGCTGGACGGACATTATTTTTACAATTTTAAACGGAACACCCCATATATTTTGATATTTTTAGAATCCTTGCCAAATTTTGTGTAGTCTAGACAGAAATTGTGTTCTTAGTAAATATGGTCTTGACTACTTGATCAAATTTTAAACACATTTTCAGAAGACTTCCTTCTAACGATCTGCAATGAGCAGGTATTTGAAAATTATACAGAGTGTCTTAAATTAAAGGACTTCTTTTTTAGATTTCAACTTGCAGTATTCATTTTTTTTTTTAACGAGACGCCCATTTTTTTGACATTTTTCCCAAAGCGGTTCAAAATACCTACAATTTGGTATACATAAGTCCTATACCTAAATCTAGTGGTTTTCGAAATACTGACACATAATTATTTGAAAGAATTTTAAAAAAGCATATCATTCTAATTTTTTAATTAATTTTAAGGATGGGTCTTTTTTATAAGCAATATAATATAGGTTTATGAAAACGTCATCATTTTTTGTATCGTCAAAGATGTAAAATAATATGTATAATTATGATAAAAGTTAAAAAAATTAACAGTAACAAGTAAAAGCAACAAACAACAGTGATTGTAACAATTAAAATGTACAGATTTTCAACAAGTCCACCATTTTGAATAATGCACGTTGCATAAACAACCTCCATATATGGTTTATATAGCATTGGAAACAAACAACGGTGTAATTTACTAATACACCTTTGCAGCTCATTTGCGGTAGTGCATCTTTCTTTATATGCCATATATTTAACTGTCCCCCATAAAAAAAAGTCCAGTGGAGTAAGATCAGCACTTCGAGGTGGCCACCGTTTTGTCCTATCCAAAGATTGTAAAAAATTCAGTGATATCGTTTCCTTGGTGGTACGTAGCCCCATCTTGCTCCAGATTAATGGTTGTATTATTTCCGAGCATATTTAAATATCGTCTAGAGTTTAAGTTTTCATTAAATAAAGTTGGCCCTATAACCTTTGATCGATATATTCCGAGCCACAGATCGTCTACCTTGTCGTTTTGTATGAAAAATCGACTCGATAATAAAAAAATTAAATGTTCAATTGCACCGATGAACTGATCCTGTTGTGGCTGTAAATGAAACCTACCTTCAGATATCTCCAATGCTGCGACCGCAAGAAAAAAACAAACATAAATATACAACGAGCAATTAGACATGTGTTATGCTAATGATAATCGATCGGTATTTAATTTACGTGGAATCTGCAGCGAGGACTTGGCAAAAATAACGCGTTCCCCGTGAAAACCAGCGGCGTTACCGATAGTTTTAATGACACCGACGGGCCATTAAAAAAAAACAAATAAATTTGGTTTTCGATTAGTAAATAATACACCGGGTTTTTTAATTAATCTTAATTCGGTACAATACCGTTGACCGGACGTACGCCGCTGGTGCAAATTATCGTACTTCACAGAAAACGACCAAACAAAAGCAGCGAAATGGTAATTGCGGTTCTGATTATAATCTGATCTTTAATAATAACACTCGCCGACACGGATAATGATATAATTTAAATGAAAAACGTAAATTGTTTAAGAGTTCGACACCCCGGGCGCAGTTCGTGTTATGCAGCGCACAACCCGACCAGGCGGTGGTTTAAAGAGCAAGGCAAAACGCTTCGATATGGGAAAGCAGACCTCGAGATAAATAGGACAAACAACGGAACATTGAAAAACGCGAAAACTAAACGGTCACATTTTTTTTTGAGGTTAGGTTATTTCGCATAATCAAATGTCGCAACCCACATCATTGAGCATTGAAAAACACCGCCAAATTAGCGAAGAGAAAGTGATTCTCTATCAGGTTTCCAGGTTTCCATATTACATATTACAGCATACCTTTCGATAATAACCAAAAACTCAGAAAATCAATATTAAATTAAATTAAATTATGCCATAAATATGAATATTTTAATGCCCTGAATGTGTTACACCGTTGGACCATATTTTCTATCACGTCTAGATTTTTCGAAATATTTCTTATTAAATATGATAAATTTAGGTTTTTTTGAATTCATTTTATGCATTCATTTTATGGTTTGCGTTTTTGCGTTTGCGCACATGTACTACCATAAAAATTCGCAGTGACTTTACAACAGTCGGTTGAAAAATTATCTCTTAATTGTTTACGTTCTCTATCAATTATTTTGGTTAGTTTTGCATAAAGTTCATATAGAAAATTGAACGTTTATTTAAAATAAATTTTATATAATTTTAGGTTAAAGAATGCTGCGAACTTTTGAGTATGAACTTTGAGACTATTTTTGCTACATTTGTGGTGAGTTTTTTTTCTAAAAATGCAGCGAAATCCCATAATCGACCTTGTTAAAACAGCTTATTTTGGATTTTGCCCGATAAAAATATGCTGTACAAATCTATGAGGTTTACAATGCCAATGATTTGAAAAAAAACTCTGAACCACGAAATCAACACGAGGACTCTTGAAAAAAATAAAAAAAATTATATATTCAAATATCGCATCTGCAAAGAGACCAATTCTTCGTGGTGAAGGCACCTTATCTTCAGTTCCACCAAAAAATAACGAAAATATGGGAAATAAAAATCCTTCCGGTCTACAGCCTCTATCGAGTTTTATTTTTGCCTGTACATCTTCATCTTTATCTTTAAGTCCATCGAAAGAACCTCATTTATTTAAACGATGTGAGTTAAATTACCTTGTTGATGACTTGGGGCTATCAAAATCTACTACTACAAAGTAATTTGGATTTCATCACCATAATGATATTTTTATAACTTGTAAGAGTAAAATTAGCATTGTCCACTCTAAAACTTGGAACGCAATATTTTTTTACATTTTTTATAATTGTTGTTACTTTAATAATATCGTTTATTAATTAATTTGACATTTTATTCAAAATGCACGTGCTGTACTGATTTCCTTATGTTCAGTGTTCACAGCACAAAATATGACGAAATCATGCAAAAACATTTTTTGCAGACCGGTGAAAAATAATATACAATTTACTAAGAAAAAAAGATTTTAATGCGTCTTAAGATGTCTCTTAAATAGATGGCAATTTCCTAATATTGTCCTGCACTTGGTAAAACAATTTTACACCTTCGGTTATATACAATATTAGTAGATTAATGTAAGAATTCGAAATTAAACCAGTTACTCAAACTTTTTACTCAAATTGTAATCAAATCGAATGCAGGAGTCCTGAATCATCCACAATAAACCGAGCAGAGCCTGATCCAAAAATACAGAAAAAAAGGTTGTGACTAGTACAAAGTGGGCATTGATAACGTTATTTCTGTTAAGGTTATTGATTGTTTTACTGTTTGATATCCTAAAGTTATCCAAATTTATCAGCTTCCCAAGGAAGGTTTTTAAAACACAATTTTGCAGATTTTGAACAAGTTGAATAGATCGAGTCACTAACATAGAAGTCATGAACAGAATGAAGAAAAAAAAAAGAAATCATTGCTAACATCAAGATAAAGAACCTCTCTCATACTTCGGCCATGTTATGAGACATCCTGAAACATGCAACATCCAGCACTTGATCAATCAGGGCAAGATTGAGGGAAGGCAAGGCCCAGGAAGAAGAAGAACATTTTGGCTGAAAAATCTACGACATTCGGTAAAAAACGGATATGAAAAAGATTTTGCTTTTTTCTTGTTCCTTTATTCTTATTAATGCTTCTGATTGCAATTCACTATATTGTGGATTTTTTGCAGATAAAGTCAACTATCAAAAACGATAATCTATTTGAGCTGCAGTGGCGCCAAAAATTTCACTAATATTCGAGAAAATATGTTCTTTTATGGTACTAGAGAACGTGAAGATTTCATGACAATTAGTCGGCTGAACATGAGCAATAAATGGAAAACTTCTAGAACGTCGGAAAGCTTGACTACAGCTGGAGATACATCCGCCAGAGAAACTAGTTGCTGCTATTGAAGACCAATCAAGCCCTTCAATTAAGGTTCTATTAAAACAAGCGTAACTCGCAGCTCTTGCTTTATATCCAAATCCAGGTGTGTGCCACAAAGTGCTAAAGTAAAGCAAAGTAAATGCGGTCCAATTGAAGCACTCCATAGCTGCTCTCCTAGCTTCATCAGTTACAGTTAGGGAAACATCAACGGAAGTGAAGTAAAGAACCTCTTCACCTGACTACCCAATTCATAATCAAAAAACGTGTTGAATAGCACATAGCCTAGCATAGCCATGGGTCTACTAATTGACAAACCGAAGTCAGGATATGACTCGACGAAGGATGGCAACACAGCTAGAAGTTTCTTTTCAAATCCTGATCTTAACTCGGTGATTACGGGAATGGAGACGGATCTTATTGTGACCTTTTTCATCACAATAAGAGTGTTGACTGTCAAGCGGCTTCACTATACATATGTGAAATAATTAGTGCTTTTCTCTGCCGATTGGAGAATTGTCTGAAGATGCAGTTGAAGCCAGACATAAGGAGGCGAGGAAAACTATCTCACACCAGTAAATGCTCAAGGGTAGAGTCAAACAAAGATCTCATCAATATATTGTTATCCACTTCTTAGTTTTAAGGCTCTTTCTTGTTCTTTAAGCCTAATTGATATTTTTCGTCCTGTCTCTCCGATGTATTATTTGCCGCATATGCATGGAATGCTGTAAACTTCTGGCATTTCAAACGGAATTTTGTCTTTGATGGACCGAAGATGTTGAGAGATTTTCGGACAAGACGTAGGGAAATCTGGTTTTGACGTTTATAGTTCTTTAGACCTTTGGATACGTGGTCAACCATGTTTTGAATGTAAGGAAGGACAACAGCGGCAAGTGTGGGATTGCTTTCGGCTTCATTGCTACTGAATGGTCGTGGCGACATGTATTTTGCGATGGAACGCTTAATATCTTTAATGTGGAAATTATTAGTGACTTGGGCTGAAATAGCTTTACGGCTCTGTAAACAAGAGAGATGATAATCGATGATTTTTGGGCAGGATGGTGATGTGACAATGCATTAAGGTATCGGTCTGTGTGCGTAGGTTTTATGTAAACACAATGACCCAATGTTAGGTCTGATTTTCTGTTGATAAGAAAATATATTCGCGATGATTGGTGATAGTGGAGAACCCATAGCTGTTCCCGATGTTTGTTCAAAAATCGACGCAGCAGGAATCCTTGTACATTATTTTTATTTCCATGTGTAGGAAACTTTTTTTATTTATTGCTTGTTGAGGATCGCACACAATACCTATGGAAGTATCTGTTTCAATATTAATTTCAGCGTCTAGGAACGTGAACGTGGAACTTCTTTAATTCCTCTTTTGGTTAAGGATAGGAAAATCGTATGATACGTTTTGATTATTTTCTTGCGAAATAAATATTATAATCATATTAACCACTGTTTAAGAGCATATATCACAGATCATATGATCGAGTAATCGATATTCTACTGCTGCAATAATAAAACGTTTTCGAAAACCGCTATACTACTACAAACCAATCACGCGCTTAAAATGCGTACGTTGTACGTTAAACGAGCTGTTAGCTTACGATGTTGACGCGATAATTACAAAACGATATACGAGGCGCCTAATTAAAAATGCAACAAACCGTTCGTTTTCTATCGAACGCCAAGGTATAGATTCGTTTGCATCATAACTTTGTGTGGAAGCTATACCACTCGTAGCTGTCGCAATTCGCATTGTCCGGGATAAACTTGTAAGACATCGCGAGTAACTACCGTCATTAAAATTCTTATCATCTTAGGCAAGAGCGATTTTTGCTTTTTACGATCGTCTCAATCACTTTTATGGCGAGAATATAAAGATTTTAACTACGACAAAGCATTAATTATATACAATGACGAGATAGGCCTACAGCGTCGTGTTTCCTTTTGAAAAAATACAAATAAAGCGCGAACCGACCGTTTTTACGATGTGACATCATCAAAAAGTTCATGAAATCATGTTCGTTTAAAATTTTCTGCCCGAAAATATCAAATTTTTATCAGCGAAACTCAAAAGAAGACATTGAGTCTATCGAAATCTCAAAGGAACTAATTTATCAATATATTACGATAAGTTCTGTCGGTTGCTTTGTTTATGTCAAATAAAAAAAGGTCTAGTTGCACTTTATACTGTAAGTTC